CTTCTATCTGATACAAGTTACTGGAGAAAAAGATGAAGAGGAAAAGCTGCCCAGGTCATTTCATGATGCAAGTATAATCATGATTCCCAAACCAAATACAGAAAAGAAAACTATAGTCCCACTTGTCTTACAAAAACACGTGCAGAAATTCTAAAAGAAATATTAATCAAATCCAATAATGTACTACTAAAACTAAAAAATAAATAAATATTTAAAATTTAAATAAATAAGACAAAGAGTAAACAAAAGTGACAATAACACTCCAGAGGCCCCTGTCCTTTTGCCTTTTTCACAACACATATTGCCAGCTGGCATATAATACACATAATGTATATCTGTTTAATGTCTGTCTCCCTTACTAGAATATAAGCGCTAGGAAAATGTGAACCTGGGGTCTGTTTTGTTCATGGATCCTAGGCTCCTACGACAGTTCCTGGCTCAGTAAATGTTTCTTTGAATAAAGAAAGAATAGGACAGGACAGGGCTTATGTTGGTATTACACACTGCAGTGCCCGGACATGAGCCTTATTGTGACTCAAATCTGTCATGGGGAATAATTAGACAGGCAGTTTGATGTCACAAGGAGGGGAGAATCTCAAGAGGTAAACAGGATGGTGACAAGAAAACAGTCATAAGTGAGCTTGCTTATGGACCAGAGGACCCAAATTATACAGAGTTCTGTGCTTTTCTGACTCACCATTTTCACATGTCCTCCTGGGAATGGAAAACCTCACGGCAAACAGGAAATCTGTTCATAGAACACAGGAGAAAGAAACTGTAGCTCCTGTGGTCCTCCTCCTCCTCCTTCCCCTCCTACCTCCTCCTTCCATTCTTCTTCCTCCTCCTCCTCTCTCTCTCATTCTCCTCCTCCCACCTTCTCCTTGCTTCTTCTTCCTCCTCCTCCTTTCTTCTTCCTTCTTCTTCTCCCCTTCCTCCTTTTTTTTCTTTACTGTCTACAAGGAGCTTGGTGGTTGCAAAGGAGGGAAAAAAAACCAAGGTCTCCGTCCTTCCATAGCTGTCTAAACTATTGGGATAACACCCACTGGTGAGATTAGAAAATGTTATGTACAACTATGTATGAATAGGTTCCTAATAATAAGATTAACATTGTATACAAAGGTTCTGAGGGCATTCCTACAATAGGAATAGACAGGGAAAGCTCATTCATTTAAGAGGTCAGTTTTGAATCAAATCTTGAAGAAAGTAATGGGATTTGGCAGAAGAGGGGCAAGCAATCTATCCAAGTGGCAAGAAAAGCACAGAGTTAGTAAGTTCACAGAATCATGGGGAACCTGGGTGGCTCAGTTGGTTAAGTATCCAACTCTTGATTTTGGCTCAGGTCATGATCTCATGATTTGTGAGATCCAACCCTGAGATGCGCTCTGTGCTGACTGTGCAGAGCCTGCTTGGGATTCTCTGTCTGCCTCTCTCTCTGCCTTTCCCTTGTTTGCATACTCTCACTCTCTCAAAATAAGTAAACTTAAAAAAAAAAAGTAATTCTTAAAAAAAAAAAAAAAAAGACCACAGAATCATAATTAGAAGGTCATCATGTTCACTTCCTATCCAGGACTGAAGTCTGTTAGGGCATCTGTAGTGGACACCTATTCACATGTCTATCTAGCAGCTCCTTGGTGGGGAGCCCTTCCCCATCTATTTGGTTTTAGTCATAGCTTCCTGTAGCTCATGAATCTGACCCCTATGCATCCAGTCTAAGACAGTCTTGCCCCAAGGAATTCAGAATTAATTCTGGAAGGAAGGAAGGAAGTAGTCCCTTCCTTGAATGCTTGGACTTGTAATATTTAGACCCAGAAGCAATAGGTGGTCATTTTCTACCACATGGTCTGGATGCTCTGCATTGAGATGCTCTGCAGTGAGAAAGAAGAACAAAATAGATGCAGAGAGGGGCACCTGTGTGGCTCAGTCGGTTGAGCACCGTACTTCAGCTCAGGTCATGATCTAATGGTTCATGAGTTCGAGCCCTGCATCTGGCTTGCTTCTGTTAGCCCAGACCCTGCTTCAGATCCTCTATCCCCACCCTCCGCTCTCTCTGCCTTTCCCCTACTCATGCTGTTTCTCTCAAAAATGAATAAACATTGGGGCGCCTGGGTGGCTGAGTCGGTTGAGCGGCTGACTGCGGCTCAGGTCATGATCTCACAGTTTGTGAGTTTGAGGCCTGCATGGGGCTCTATGCTGACAGTTGAGAGCCTGGAGCCTGCTTCGGATTCTGTGTCTCCCTCTCTCTGCCCCTCCCCCACTCATGCTCTGTCTCTCTCTCTCTCTCTGTCAAAAGTGAATAAACATTAAAAAAAAAATCTTTTTTTAATGAATAAACATTACAAAAAAATAGATGCAGAGAGAGGACTTACAAGAGATACAGCCAGAGCCCCCAGCCCTGGAGGTATCCCAGCAATTGCATTTGTTTTGTTTGTTTTTTGCTTACTGAAGTTATTTTAAATTTGCTTTCTTTTGCTTGCAATCAAAACGCCTAACCAGTATACACGTGACCTGGAAAGGCTCCTCCTTGGGTCTCAAATGATGTTTCCTTTTACCTGAAAGGTGATTGTGGAATTTGGTCTCACTGTGTCCCATGTCTGGGCACGTGGGTGGGAAGTGGCATCTTCTCCGTAGCTGCCATTAACTGAGGGTGATTCTGCCTCGTTATACAGGGATGGTGGAAGGCTGGGATGGGCCTGGCTCGGCTGGAGTCCCGGGAAAATGAGTGGGCATGATGACTGCCTCTTTTTCCTGCCATCCACGTGGACAGGTCCACCAAATCTTACTATAAGAAAGACACGTGCAGTTCTTTCCCGAAGGGCAGGCGGCTCTCCCAAGATCCTGTTCTGCGTTCACAGGATGTGCAAGCTGGAACAAACTACTCGACATTTTTTGTGCTTCAGTGTCCTCACCTGTCAAGTGGGAATAATAATAATAAAAATAACAATATCTACCACGCAGAGTTGTCATTAGAACTGAGTTAATGCATGTAAAGCATGTGGGTCAGTGGCAGGCATACAGTAAATGCCCAGTAAATGTTAGTCAGCGCTGCTATCATTATTACTGGTTCTGATTCCTCTGGTGAGGACGCTCACTCCTCTAGGATGGCTTGCCTCAGCAACACCTCTTCTCTGGGTTTTTCCAGAGAAAAATAGCCTAATGAAACTATTTCGTTTTAGGCCATCTCTATTTTAATTCTGTCTAGGGTTAGATTGTAAGCTTCTCAAAGGGAAGAAGTGACAGGAACCTTGTCTTTCAAGCCACTGTCTGACCCATTTTCTGCATTATCTTCCCAAAACACGTGTCTTTCCTCAAAAAAAATATGAAGATCGGTGACAAAATTCAGACTGTCGAGAGTGGGATTCTAAGCCGGTATTGTTTATTAGAAATATATACAAGTCACATATGCAATTTAAAATTTTTGGGGCGCCTGGGTGGCGCAGTCGGTTAAGCGTCCGACTTCAGCCAGGTCACGATCTCGCGGTCCGGGAGTTCGAGCCCCGCGTCAGGCTCTGGGCTGATGGCTCGGAGCCTGGAGCCTGTTTCTGATTCTGTGTCTCCCTCTCTCTCTGCCCCTCCCCCGTTCATGCTCTGTCTCTCTCTGTCCCAAAAATAAATAAAAACGTTGAAAAAAAAATTTTAAATTTTCTAAATTAAAAAAATTTAATTTTCTAAATTAAAAAAAAAGTAAAAAGGGACAGGTAAAATTAACTTCAATAATAATATGTGTTATTTAACCGAGTCAGTCCCAACTATTATATTTCAATCTGTAAGCAATTTAAAAAATAACTTGATAGTTTCAATTCTTTGCCTTTTAGTACTAAATCTTTGCAAACCCTTGGGCTGGTTGTTTAACCTCTGTGAGTCTGAGCTGCCTCATCTGCCAAAGAAAAACAGTTGTTCACAGGTTTGTGGAAGAAGAAAGTGTGATAATGCCCATGAAGTCCATTGTATTTGTTCTTACTGCTGCTGTAACATATTACCACAGACTTAGTGGTTTCAAACAATACAGATTTATTAATGTATATAGTTCTGGAGACCAAAGTCCAAATGGGCTAAAATCAAGATGCTGGTAAAGCTGCACTCCATCTAGAGGTTCTAGTGGAAAATGTGTCTCCTTACCTTTTGCAGCTTCGACAGGCTGCTTGCATTCCTTGTGGGCTCACCCCTTCCTCCATCTTCAAAGCCAGGCAGTGTAGGGTCTTCTAGGCTCCTTCTCTGGCTTTATTCTTCTTGCCACATTTTTCCCATATTAGGACTCACATGTGATTACACTGGGCCTGCTGGATTAATCCAGGAAACTCTGACCATGTCAAGGCCTGTACCCTTAATCACATCTGCAAAGTTCCTTTTGCTGCTAGAGGCCACCTAGTCACATCTCCCGGGGATTAGGACGTGGGCATCTTTGGGGGCTGTTATTCTGCCTCCCATGCTCATGCATTGGCACAGGGGTTGGCTACTGTAAGCCCTCAACAAATATTCTCTCGTTAGAAAACCTCGATTATAGTTCTTAACAACAGTGTATTATTTACACGCTTTTGTATTTGTGTTCTGTGAAGGTCTTATTTCTAGCACTTGGCCCACCACGTTGCACATATTAACTCAGTAACTCATGTTCATCGAGTAACTTCTATGTGTAAATCATGGTTACTAAGCAGCTGGGAACACAGTTCCCACCCTCATGAGCATGCACTGTCAACTGTGGATACAGAACGGTGCTCAAATATTTATTAAATGGATTAATAAAGCAAAACAGCTTACGTCCACTTCAGGGGACACATCATTGGTTTGGTTTTGACCATGCTCTCTCCCTGGGATGCTCTTTCCTACTTTTGCTTGTCAAAATTTATCAATTCTTGGAGCGCCTGGGTGGTGCAGTCAGTTGAGTGTCCAACTCTTGATCTCTACTCGGGTCATGATCTCACAGTTCATGAGTTTGAGCCCCGCATCAGGCTCTGATCCCTACTTGGGATTCTGTCTCTCCTTCTCTCTGCCCCTCCCCCACTTGTTCTCTCTCTCTGTCTCAAAATAAATAAATAAACATTAAAAAAATTTAAAAAAATGATCCATTCAAGACTAGGCTCATATACCTGCACTTTGCTTTTTTTGAGGAAATGGACATTGCAAGTTGTAACTGAACATGCTTCCTGTCTTGCCTTGTTAGCCAAGAAACTTGTTTCAAAATTTTTGGCCTGTTCTCTAGCAACTATTTAAGACTATGTGGTTACTTACTTGACACTCATCTCTAACCTTGGGTTTCCTTTCATAATTTTTTTCAGCGTAACTCCCTTCAGTATTGACCTGTTACAGACTCTGAATTTTTTCTAAGCTACGTTACGTCATTTGTGAAATGAAGACACCATGAGTAAGTCACTTAAAATCTAGTACCCTCCTGTGTCAGACCCTCTGGGAAAAGATGCCAAGATAGAGTTAGAAGTGCAGTAAGTCTGTTTGGGGTAGTGCCTATGAGAGATGAAGGGCAAGGGTGCAGTGAGAATGGAGGGCCATCAGACTGTGACTTGGGTGTGGCATCTATGAAATGGTAGAGAGAAGGAAGGTCGGGTAGGAAGAGCTTCCAATTGTAGCGCTGCTCTAAGAAAGTCTGGGCTGGCCCAGGTCCTGGTGGTTTGCCCAGAAGGGAGCGCTGCCTTGGGCAGAAATGGCCAGGTCCTAGCTCTCCACAGCCCTGCCACTGGCCAGGGCTTCCCCGGGGAGAGTGCAGCTTTGGACCAAATGCTGTGGCAGGTGTGGAGCTGGAGGCTGTCAGCTAACCATGCGCTGTGACGTAGGGGCCGCCCCACAAGGAGATCTGAGCTGTGCACCTCCACATCTAGATTGCACACTTCTGGAGGCAAACACTGTCATGTTCCCTTTGTGACTTTGCCTGTGTTGCAAGTGTCCAGTTACTATTTCATAAATTACTTTTTGTCATCGAACCAGTTGGTGATGTAATAGCAATAGCATGATGTGGGAGAAAGAGCTTGGGTTTTAGAGGCAAAAAGAACTGGATTCACATCTCAGGGTTTTTTTTTTTTTTTTTTTTTTTTTTTTCAGACAAATCTAGATTAGATTAGCTGGGATCTGATGCAAGTCATTTAACTTCTCTAAGCCCTTAAGGTCATGAAATGAGATTAACCATGCTGTAGCCTACAGAATTGCTGGGAGGATTAAATAAAATGCCTACAATTTGGTATCTGCCATTTAGGAGGTGTTGAATAAATGTTCTTTTCTCCTTTACGTTTCACTTTCAAGTAAGATTTTGTTGTGGGAGAAAGTGCTTGTGTAAATACTTTCTCATTTGACTTAGATTAGGTATTATTTTTTCTAAGAAATTGTGATTAAAAAAGGGCAAGTGGCTTACTCAAGTTCACAAGTTCGCAGAGGCAGACGCAGGACCCAAACCCAAGCCTTCTGGCTTCAATTTCAGCTCTTTAAGTACTGTTGGTGTTTTTCAGGAAAACGAGCTGCAATGTCCCATCTGGGAGCTACTGTCAGAACCACATGACCATGTGCAGGTGGAACTCAGTGACAAAGTGGGGAGAGACGTTGGGGCTGAAAAGTCTGAAAAAGAAGGGGAATCAACACCTGTTGTGAATGGAAAGTGAACACAGAATACAGATTTTTCAAGTAAGCTTATTGACTCTAAGAGTTTTTAGACCTAAGCAGTCTGGCCAGAAAACTGCTTAAAACATGGCTTTTCCTAGGCCTGCAAATATAACAGAAAAGGGTTTCTTTCCGGATTCCCTAACTCCTGCTATTGTGATTCTGTTGTTTCTTGTCTTTTTCTTGGTGCACAGTATGCTTGAGCCAAAAAGCGTGCCAAGGCATCTCCCTTCTGTGCTTTGTCGTAACTTATTCCTAAAGTTATGTTCTCTGGTTTTGAGATGCTTGGGATATGATTAAATATAGCATCCTCATAAACAAAGGTAAGTTTTATCCTTTTGATTTCTAGAATGTTGATTTGAGATGGCTCATTCTACTCAAGCATCTTGTTAGTTTCCTGTTTCCTTTCTTTTCCATGCCAATTCACACACTGGAACTGATCAATCTGCCAGCTAAGTTAATGGATACAAAATGGTATTCTCTTCAGTTCTCAAGCATCTGTGATGTCTCCTCTCTGTGTGACATTCTGAAGGTTGGCTTCATTGCTGTGGCCTGTGATTTTAAATCCACTGTAATTACAATGGCCTCACCACATTCTCCCCTCCAGGTGTCCTGGATATTCCTAGGAACAGCTTGCATCTCTGCTCCTACTTTGTGTTTCTTGGAAACATTTAAAGCCAGTTCTGAGCCTGTACCTTCCTTCAGTCTTCTCCCACAGGACTTGGCATGGGATGAAGACGACTGGGGAAGAAGGGAGACACAGCTTCCTAAGTAGATCCTGAGAGTTAGATTCTGGGGCTGAGGGGTTGTCTCGGGAGCAGGGTCATCCCTTTCTGATGCCTGTTGCCCAACATCCTCACGGCACAATGACTTGTTCTGAAGAAAAAGACTGTATTGCCCTGAAGGTTCTAGAATCTCTTTTGAACACAGGCAGCCAGTCCCAATTGGCCCTTTGAGGATATAAACATGCCTTCAGAACACTTCTCTTCTTAAAGCTCAAGATTTCTTCATGAAATATTAACCCAAGGTATTCTGCAGGTTCAGAGTGGATTAGTTCTGCCTGCAACCCTTTTAGCTTGGCTTGGAACCACCGAGAGTGCCCTTAATGACAACAGATTACTCCTGCTTTCAAACACATTGGGGCAATTAAAAACTGCTTGCAACTCAGAGGCAACATCACCCAATGCAAAGGGAGTTTGCATAATCCGCTTGAGAGATTTTAAAATAAAGTGTTATCATTACTTTTTCAGTGATGTGTCAGATGTATCTTATTTAGATTAAGGGGGACCTTCTTCCTTGCTCAGCAAGCCCAAGAGCTTGCACATCCAGCAGATCCACAAACTGCATCATGAAGAGATCAATCTGTGATATTCCGATTTTATTTTTGCAGTAAAGTCTCCAACATCAGGAGTTAGACTACTCACACTGCTCTATTACATTTTAGAATGTTCTGCTTACATATTTTTTTTCTCATGCCTTTCTCTGCCCCTTGAAATGCTACTTATTCTTAAAGATGGAGCTCAAATGGCCTCTCAGCTATTCCTCTCCTAACAACAACAAAAACCGTTAACAGCAATCTTTCCTAAAGCCTGAAGGATAAGACTTGGGCATGCTTATGAAATTTATTAGAAGATTCTCTAAAGAGTTACCTGTGTTCAGATTTGATCTTTTCATTTTAAGTTTCTTCAAGGCAAACATTATATTGACACATCAATTTATGTATTTCCAACAATGGGAATATAGAACTGAAAAAAACTTTTGTCATTCTCATGAAATAAATAGAAACTGATTTATGATACTTAAAAATAACAATTGTCAATTTTATGAGTTAACTATAAAAAAAGATCCACAGAAACACACTGTAGTCTGTGAAGAAGAGACAAGTGATTTTGTTGATGATAAAAGTCCAAAAAGGTTCTGGTTAGTAAGGTAGAAGTTGGTCAATTTCCTAGATGGTTTTTTTTCTGTCTTTGGCATGTGTCTGTTTATTAATACATATATTTATTTGTTCTTCCCAGTGTTTAATTAAGATTCCAAAATGTACTTCATTACTAGTCTTATTTTCCCTAAGAGTTATGAAAGTTATCATTGTGTTGTGTCAGTGAATTTTTTTACAAGGAAAATTGGATGGAATTTAGACCTTAAAGGTATTTAAATTTTATTTCTGAAGAAACACCTCACACAGTTGTTAGACTTTATCACTGTATAAAAATGTACAGTGGTTTATTGACATGTACATTCCAATATGTTTACAGCTGCAAGATAATGAGGCACACTCAGTATTGCACTTCATTAAAATTTCAGGCTCAACTTAACCTAGAAGTTTAAATGAAACTGCATTTGTAATTTAGTAATTCTTATACAGAACAAACATTGATATCTTTATATACAGTGTGATACTTATTACATTTATATGCCAGTCCTAACACAATTTTTTTTTTTAAATAACAGTCTAGGAAATAAACCAGAATATTCTTCTTTTCATCCCCACCCGTGATGCAATTATACAGGATTACAAAAAAAGGCAGTATACAATAAACAATGATTATTTTTCTTTTTTGCTTGAAAGCCAGCATCATTCTTAGTCCATGGGCATGGCGATTCTTTTATATCAATTATCTATAAATGTTCAATGCTTCACAGGCCAATGACGGTAATGGCCACATGCAAACACCTCACAAGTTTGATGTCTTGGTTCAAAAGAAAATAAACTGAAATAATGGGGAAACTTTCCATAGCAAGAATTATGTACATGGTATTTGGCATCCTTCTTGCACTGTGAATGGTTCATTTTCATGGATGTAAAAATGGTCCCGTCCTTATCCTGAGCAGAGTTTAAACTTTACCACATCCACTTGGGGGATGAAGGCAACTTCTTCTCTGTAGACAAAGGAATCTGAGTGTTCTAAAAAGTGTGAGCATTTCTGCACACTCCACAGCCCAGAGCAAATTCTTCCCCAGTGGGTGGATGAACAACATGGAGTGGACATTCAGTTCCTTCTAATTGTTTGCCTTTGGGACCTGTATACATTTTGAAGGAGGCAAAAGCATATAATTAAAAACACACACACATATATACAAACCTAATGTAAATATAAATTACTGATAAGATATTCAAAGAAATAACAGGACTATGGTTACACAAATACAAATTTTAAAAATGACAGAATCTACCTACAACATCTTGCCTAGAAATCACCTCTATGAGCTATAGATTTTATTCTATCAATGAATGAGATACCTCATCTTAAACATTTTTATTTTTTTTTAATGGAAGTACAGTTGACACACATGCTACTTTAATTTCAGGTGTGGAACATAATGCTTCCACACAGCTATACATTATGCTATGCTTACCCCAAGTGAGCCATACCATGCTATTATAATACCACTGACTGTATTTCCTATGTTATACCTTTCACTTTGGTGACTTATTCATCCCAAAACTAGAAGCCTGTATCGCCCACTCCCCTTCACCCATTTTGTGCCTACTTCCCCCACTCAGAACCATCAGACCGTTCTCTGTATATGGATCTGTTTCTGCTTTTTTGTTTCGTTTAGTTTTTTAGATTCCACATTTAAGCGAAATCATATGGCATTTGTCTTTCTCTGACTTATTTCTTATTACTTAGCATAATACCCTCTATGTCTCCATCCATGTTATCACAAAAGGGAAGATCTCTTTCTTTTTATGGCTGCGTAATATTCTACTCTGTGTATGTGTGTGTGTGTGTGTGTGTGTGTACACATCTTCTTTATCCATTTATCTCTTGATGGGCACCTGGGTTCCTTCTATATCTTGGCCATTGTAAATAATGTTATAATAAACATAGGAGTACATATATCTTTTTGAATTAGTGTTTTCATTTTCTTTGGGTAAATACCCAGTAGTGGAATTACTGGATCATATGGTATTTCTATTTTAAATTTTTTGAGAAACCTCCATATTGTTTTCCACAGTGGCTGCACCAGTTTGCATTCCTACCAATAGTGCACGAGGGTTCCTTCTAGTCCACATCCTTGCCAACACTGGCTATTTCTTGTCTTTCTGATTCTAACCATTCTAATTGGTGTAAAGTGACACCTCATTGTGGTTTTGTTTGGCATTTCCCTGATTAGTGAGGTTGAACATTAGATATATCATTTTAAAGCAAAGAACAATGAACAAAAATCGTCATGAAAATCTGTCAGTTCAGTTGAATTGAACACTATTCTGGATGAGAAAATATGGAGACTTTAATAGAATGTTTTTCTGCAGGTAAAAACAAATTTAAATGTAAATAAGCCATGTTAGTTCTCTGAAGAAAACGCACACACTGATGAAATGGAAAGACTGATTATTAAAGACTGTTATTTTAAAAGTATCTGAAGGAAGATTAGTAGAAAAATGAAAATCAGCTTAAATACATGAGTGGTAACATAATATAAAATATAACAATCTGGAAGAAGCACTTAGGGAAAATAGAAACTTAATGAGGCTTAAAAATGTACATAAAACTATACTTTTTTATTTTAAAAGACTTGCTATATCATTGTGCTTCATGTCATGTGTTTCTTATCATTTAAAAAGGACTTTTAGGGGCACCTGGGTGGCTCAGTTAAGCGTCCAACTTCAGCTCAGGTCATGATCTCATGGTTCATGGGTTCGAGCCCCATGTCAGGTTCTGTGCTACAGCTCAGAGCTTGAAGCCTGCTTTGGATTCTGTGTCTCCCTCTCTCTCTCTGCCCCTCCCCTGCTCGTGCTCTGTTTCATTATTTCTCAAAAATAAGTAAACATTAAAAAAAAAAAAAAGTAAAGGACATTTAGCTCCTTTATAAATGAGGAACTTGACTGTGTAGGGAATCCTGGCTGGGCTTATACCTGAATACAGAGTCTCTAACAGCAGAGGAAGAAACAGAAGTATGCATTTGTTTCCTACAGCTAGTAACCAAAACAATAAATGTAAATTTTGACTCTGAAAGAAAAGTATGAGATTGGATGGAATAAGCTTACCCAGATGAATGGGGAATGAGATCTTAACTGAATTTAGCTCTTCTAGGTTTAAAAGAAGGAAAACAGGAGGGATAAAAGGCTAGTGTTTATGAAGCTCTTAGCCTGGCACAGTATGTTAGCTGTTATTACTACCACTGAACAAGTACAAACTGCCTCTATCCATATAAGAGTAAGACCAAGGCAAGAGGGTAAGTATCACACTGAAGACAGGTCATGACTGAGGGAGAAGTCAACTGCTGGTTTCAGCTACCAGACATAAGAGCAGAGGTTAAAACCTACAAAGGTAATTATTCCGGTTATAAATTATAGTGTGTATCAGTACCTGCCACCCCAAATCACACTGCACACTGATATTCTACCCACACTGGTGGGTGGGGGAGAGTTGTCAGGAAGAGGGACACTCAAGTACATGACACCATAAATGATGGCTCCTGCAAACTGCAGTCCTTGTTTTTTTATGGGAGAAAATAAACAGTCACTTACTCAACAAATATTTACTCAGTGCCTAATGTGTGAATGGTGTTACATTAGGTGCTTGAGATGTAAAAATGAATAGTACATGGCCCCTATCTTCAAGGAGTTAGTAATCTAATCATGAAGGTAAAAAATAGTAATATAATCATGATGCTAAAAAAAAATACAGTGAAAGTAAAAACAAAAGAAAAATCACCTGCAGACACTTGTGTGCTTGCTATTGAGGTACTGCTCTAGTATGTCAACTCAATCTTCTACCAGTCATAGAGGCAGGAACTATTGTCCCCATTGTGCAGATAAGAAAAGTGAGGCAAAGTTAACTTAATCTTTCTTGATTCTTAGGTCCCTCATCTTTTATTTTAGTTTTTTATTTGAAAAAAATTTTTTTAACATTTATTCATTTTTGAGAGACACAGTGTGGGTGGGGGAGGGGTAGAGGGAGAGGGAGACACAGAATCTAAAGCAGGCTCGAGGCTCTGAGCTGTCAGCATGGAGCCTGACGTGGGGCCTACTGAGCCACCCAGGAACCCCTTAGGTCTCTCATCTTTTAAATAGGCACAGCAATATTTAACTCTAAGTATTCTGGCACTAAGAAGGTGGTTAATAATTATTTTAGAAAGTAACAGAGGAATGGTCTACTTTAACTTCTTAATCTGGACTCTCGTTCTTATCCATATATTAAAAATTGGAATTAATGGGTTGACAGTGGTTACAGAATCAATCCCTCCGTCCTTCTAAGTAAAATGTATGGCCATCTTCCCTGCTGATTTCACTGTGGGGTCTGCTTTAATTCTATTCCAGTTCTCTATAGGAATGGATGAGTTAATGAGTTAGATGAATGTGAAAGGCTGGGAGAGCATGCCTCAGTCTAAGTGTTATGATCTTAGGCCAGCTACTGAATTTCTCTGGGCCTTAACTTTCCATCTGTGAAGGTGAGAATAACACCAGCTACCTTGTAGGTTGTAAAAACTAGGTAAGAAAATGTATGTGAAAATGCCCAGGATTGAGGTCAGTGCCCTCCTTCTGTCATCTCTGTAAATCCTCTCCTGCCTCATCCCTCTGGCTCATGGTTGTTCCCAGGGTGAAGTCCCTGTACTGGCAGAGCTCGGTGATCATGTGAATGTGTGAGGGAAGCCTTGCCTTTGCTGGAACCTCTCAGCGACTATCCACCTCTGTGTTCTCCACACTTGTTTTATTGCTAGCTAACCTCTTGATTAATTTTAGTGTTTGGTTGTTGTTTTGTCTTCGTTTCTGAACATACAAGAAACTTTCTTTCATTAAGTAAAAATGTGAATTTTCCCTGATGATATTGCTTGCCTCTAAACTTTCTCAACT